AATCGTAGGTCACTGTTTATGTTGTTAGGTAGGAGTTAGCTGACGTTTTTTCTAGCTAGGAAACGTTACAGGTGGTCAGTACCACTGTCCTCTGTTTGATCTGGAATGAGAGAAGCTAGCTGTTGTGTCATGTGCATGTGTTAATATTAAAGCCAAGGTGCTACTGACTAGCTAACTGACTGGATGCCCATTAACATTATAACTCCTATTGTGTGTATTTACTATTATTATTATTTTGTAGATTTCAAGCACTTTTCTTTTTTGAAGTGTATTTTTATTTATGTATTTGTATTATATAATACAGACAAGAAGGAAAAAGGCAGACACAAACATTGAAAAAGTCAGTTACTGTTAATGTGTTAATGTTACATGTTGTGCATTGCATTTCAAACAGAAGTCCAAAAAATAAGTCCAAGGTCCATTTTTGGTATTTTTGGTACTCACTATAGGGGGCTGCTTTACTCCAGAAACATAATACTGTTTATGTGTATGTTGAGGAGCTGCTGTATCAAAATGAGTTGTCCTCCCCAGAAATTAGGGTTACGATATGTTTCTTTTATGATTCCAATCCATTCCTCTTTTGCTGTGGCTCAGCATTTAAATAACCTTTATCAGATTTGATGGTTTAGTCACAGACTTTCCCAAAAAGTGTTGTGCTTTTCTTTCACAAATGTGGGAATGAAATTGAGTTAAAATGTACAAAACAGTGAAATTTATCTTGCCTGGCCGGGCAGCTCTCTGGGTGCTCAGCACCCCTAAACCTCTGATCCTAGAATCGCCCCTGCTGAGCAATAAGACAATTATTTCATCGCGTTGCAAATTTTCTGAAACTTTATGTTTAAATGTGCAATTTAGGGATTGTTTAATTAAATGTGCTTTCTTGTAAAATTTTCCAGAACAGAAATCTGAACTAAAATAAACCTAAAATTTTATTTGGAGTGTTTTTTCTTTCCGCTGGTCTGAAAGTCGACATGTTCCGGACGAAAATCTGCCCAAAATCCAAAGACTGACCAGCGCATGAAACAAACGTTTTTACCTGGAGCGTCTTGTCTTTAAATGATCCGATACACAGCCAGCGGCAGCGGACGTGTCACACCAGTAAAAAAGTACAACATGTCAGATTGTAGACGGATCACAGCTTTGAATCTTTGCCGAAAATCTTCCATGTTTGTGTGAAGTTACAGATAAAAACAGTTTTTATCCTCTGCTGAGTGAATCCACTGTAGTGTTCACGATCAAGTGATGCAACGTTCCAAAGTTACATTCATTCATCTACTGATTCTGTAAACTCAAACATGCTCACTCACCTGATGCACAAGCTTTGATGAATTAGAAAAAGTTTGCTGAGGGACGTAACGACAACGCTTCAACACATAATTTATTATTTTAGTCAAATAAGACAAAACCGGTTAGAACATTGCAGAGAGTGTCAGCAGTGTCAACTGACCGGTCTGAGCTCGACTCAAGCCGGCGGATGGTGAAGGTGTTCTACTACTAAAACTCCTACCACTGCCAATATTCATATTTTTTATTATGTTTATTATGATGATAGGGTTGGTGTTTGTCAGAGGGGAGGTGTGTACGCTGATATATTTTAAGAGTTTTGGGCCTCTTTCAAGTGAAATGGTAGATTCATCATAGATGCCTAAAAACTGTTGATCACAGCAATCATAAATGTCAAAGTGTTTTTTATTGTGTAATAAAAGCTTCTTCATTTCAGTTCTGCATAAATCCACATATTTTCCAGTTACACTGAAATGAAACTGGAACTTTGATGATGCAGACACAAAACTTAGAAACTTCCTCCTCAGACGGATCAAGTCACTGCACAGTGCTCTGAAGTGGTGTGTGCTGTGCTGTGAAGCTTGTTGTACTGAGTGACTGCATGTTGTTGTGTCTGTGTGAAGGTGTGGACTCTGCTATGAATCAGGCTGAGGACAGAGAGGAGGGAGTCCCTCCCTCTAAAACCACTCTGTGTGGGGAACATGACAGCCAGACCAAAGCTCAGAGGTGAGACCAGGATCTCTAACTGTCCATGACTCAAATCACTCCACCATCACTGTTCACACTCACAGCTATGTGTGTGTTCAACAGGTCAGACTCTCCTGTGTCCAGCTGTGTGTCCTTTAACAGTGACCTGTCTAAGGATGAACCTATGAGCTTCAAAGGTGGACACCCCTCTGATCAAAAGTAATAAATTATCCCAGTTTGTTGTTATCAGTTTTAAAATATTCAAAAGTAGACATCATTTTCAGCAGATTTTCATTTTACCTGTGAATTTGTTTGTGATTCTATCAGGATCCAACATGAGAGACCAGACTGTCCTGGACCTGGACCTGGACCTGAACCTGGACCCAGCTGTGTGTCCTTCAAGAGTGACAAGTCTATGGGTCAACCTATTAACTTTAAAGATGGAGAGCATTCTGATAGTCAAAGGTATACGACTGAATATTAACACATTCAATAATCAACAGTTTTTACACGTGCAGCCTTTTTGTGCCCTCAAATCTATTACTTTCAATGAAGACTCAAACACCATCACAGCGCGCACACATTCCCAAGTGACTTTTTTTCAGGGTGCGACGGCTCCACCCTGACATAAATTGAGTTCAACTTTTGTAACACAGCAGGGCGCACCACGTCATGTGACGAGGACCAACCAATCACAGCTGACAGATATCTTTCCTTCTTCAGTAAATATCAGTGTGTCACAAATATGGAGGAGAAGTTGATCATGTTAGTGCAGAGCTGTCCGAGCGTCACATCTGTCCCACAGACAAACAGGAAGTAGATCAGCTCTGACCTCAGGGTTTCAAGGAAACAGGCTGTGATATGATGCTTGTTAAGGTTGCTTAGCAACCTCGGACACAACCTGCGGCTGCGCTCTTGAGAGCTGGTACAGAAAAGGCACAAGAGTAGTGCCCAGCTCCCGACCTTGTGTTTTCCCGATGGTTAAAGACGCAGCATGTGTGCGACCCCTAAGACCCACTGTTACTATCTTTGATTTGTGTTGAACCTGTTTTTCTGTTTTTATCTGATTCTCTGGGTCATTTCTGCTTTAGTCTTGCTTCATGGATCTGTGCACCTACATGTCTCTGATCACTAGGGCTGCACCTGACCCAGAATCCTGTCAGTCGAATCAGATTTGGCTGTTTAATATTCGAACAATTCCTTCCTTTGTTTTCCTAAAGGGTTTTAACAGGGTTCAGCAGGACGTTCAATGGGACCTCAATTTTCATGCATTATAGTAAACAAACCAAGTTAGCCCTCTGAACTAATACATGCTAACTATGCTGAGGACGGATCTGAAATGTGCAACATGTTTTGCCAACACTAGATATCAAACAAAAGAAAGAGACTGTCCTATTAAGTTGCTGTAAGCCTCTAAGAGAAGGCAGAAGATAACATTATCTCTGTCTGATCGGGCAACGCCTCTCTTTCTCCTGGTAGCTTCCTCCGTCTGACTCAGACTCTCCTTGGGTCTGTGTCTGCAGCTGCCTCCATCTCTCTCAGGCTGCTGTCAGCCCTAGAGTGGTCTCCTTTGGTCTGAATCAGGGACTCATGTTGTTCCAAAGTTGTATAATTGCCTAGAGTTGGTTGGTGTTCTCACGGCAGCATTTACAAGAGGACCAGATCAAATGCCTTGTGTGAGAAAGCTGCTCTTGATTGGTCAGAATTTCCATGTGGGAAAAATCCAGGAAGTAAAGCAAACATTGAAGAAGAGTACACTTGCAAGATAAATGTGACACTTTCTAATGTCACAATGGAGGGACAACTACGCAGGTTGATTTTAGCGCTGCTCATCGTGGACTATATTGCTGTCATTGTTCATTTTAGTCAAAGCATACAGTTTGAAAACGAGGCGCGGCTCCAACTAGAAAACAATGTTTTGATGCATTGGATGTGCTGAATGTGCATATTAAGGCAGTACAGGAGGAGGTGCACATTAATAATCCTCCAGGACTGTAACATGCTCATGTTTAACCCAAACAATGTGTCATGTGACTGCAGTTGCTTCACATCCAGGTCGGAACATCTTCTCACCACAAACCAACCGCACCAGAGTTCCTTTGGAACCGGACTGAGACCACCTCTGCAAAAAGGTCTCAGTCTGGTTGGTTTGGCGTGTTCACACCTCCACAAACGAACCACACTGAGGGGGCAAACACACCTGAATTCAACTAAACCAAACCAAACAGGGTAGGTGTGAAAAAACCATCAGACTCTCCCTGGGTCTGTGTCTGCAGCTTCCTGTATCGGAGAGCAGCACAAAAGGGAGGAGTGCTCACTCTGCAGCTGAATCTGGGAACCAAAACATTGCCAGTAGTACACTGACTGACACACACAAAAAAAACCCACACTGCTTGACTTGAAGGAATCTGAGTCAACTGAAGTGTCTCCAACTGATGATTCTGATCCCTGACTTTCAGGGTGCAGCCATAGTGTATAACTATCACATTAGAATTACCAGGGTCTATCTGCGTTCTGAGAGGTTTTGAGATATTGAGTTTTTAAGTTTTGCATTAACAAAAATAGCATAAATGATGTAAACCACACATTAATCAGTGTTTGTATTTCTTTGAGGCTCCAACAGCAGAGACAAGTCTACCCTGCACCCAGCTGTGTGTCCATCAGCAGTGACTGGTCTATGGGTCTACCTACTACCTTCAAAAATGGACACCAGTCTGATCAGAAGTAATTATTTTTCTCACAGTTAAAACTTTCAAAGGTCAGTCGATCTTTCAGCAGAATTGCACCATAACTTTGCATTTATCAATGTTTATAATTCTGTCAGAATCCGACATGAGAGACCAGTCTCTCCTGGACTTGGACCAGAACCTGGATCCAGCTGTGTATCCATGAAGAGTGAAGCGTCCATAGACCTCCCACTTTTTTTTAAAGGACAAAATTCTTCTGAAACACGGTGAGTCGTCTTATTGTTACTATGAAACATTGCCATTTAAAAGATTCTTCCAAAAGAACAGTAACAACCATTATTGGAGGTTCTGGGGACCTCGAATAAACCAGCAGCAGATGACCGCAGGCTTCTTAGAGGCAAATATTTAACAAACATTTCGTAAAACTCTGTGACAGCCTGTGTAGTAGAAATGTACAAAGATTTTCTAAAAGTTGGCGCCCTGCAGCCGCAGACAAGTGAGAAAAAAGGCTTCAGAAGAACTTTATCACTCGAAAGCAGGAAGTCCTACAACATACAGAAAGTATACAACGGTCTGTCAGTACCCAGTTCTGACTGGCTGCGTGGTGTTTGCCAGCCACAACCAGCAATTTTGACGATGGTAAGAGACCCCAAAGCCCAGGCACTTGACGGTCTTGTTCTACTCCTGGATTGTCTTCCCTGTAAAAGAGTTGGTGCTCTACAAGTAAGTTTGCCAAGCTAAGGATGCTGCTTAGTTCTGGGGTTATTGTTCGGATGAGTTTGTCCTCAAACTACAGACTTTAGAAGAGACAAAAAACATTTGCTGCCAAGACAAAAAGTGGTCAGCGTTAACGAGTATGACCGCACTTCATTTGTCAATCTACTGTCTCTCACAGGATCCAGCAGCGAGGACGAGACTGTCCTGTCCCAACCTGTGTGTCCATAAAGAGTGACCGCTCTATGCCTCTATATGTTTGTTTCAAAGATCAGGAAAACTCTGCCAAGCAGAGGTAAGAATTTCAAACTTTTTTTTTTAACCCTCTTAAGGAATGATGATGACATGATTCCTTTCTATCTCATTCAGAACGCCCTATTTAAACAGTCCCGTCTACTGTTGCTGCTTCCTCTGCAAGACACTTTGCAACCCACCTCCACCCCAGCTCCTCCTTTTCATGTTGTGTCTGACTTATCAATGTAATTTCTGTTTGTCACTTCTGCTCCTCTGCTGTGTACCTAGGTGGTCTTTGCTGCTGCTCTCCCTGTCTTAGGCTTTCCATGAAGGCACATGGAAGGGCAAAGAGGTGTGTTGTCTGCCTTAGGCTTTCTGCATAGGCCCAAAAACAGAGCCATACCACCAAATATAACACTGCAAACTGAAATAAAGTTTTCTTTAGCTAAAGTGGTCCTCACTGAAATCCCACTTCAGTTTCCTTTTCCTCACATCTCATCCAGAAATTATAGAAACATTTACCAAAGAGCTAAATTTGTGTTTTTACCAGCATTTATCATGCTATGAGATAACATCTGTGACAAGGTATATGTGTGCCTGTGTTCGTAATTATTTTAAAACTTCACAGAGGTCATCAGGAAAATTCAAATGTTCCCAGTGGTCAGCCTGCCCAGCAACATGCAACAGATCTGGACTCCATATTCATGGTGTGTAAATGTACAAACATATGACTTCAACCACAGATTGGTCCTAACAGTCTCCATGTTGCACCCTTTCAGTCTGTGACAGGTGATCTGATGTTTTGTCATCTGACCAACATATTGTTCTGTTTCAGCTGCTTGAGAAGAACATTGTCAGTTTTGTGAAGAACGAACTGAAGAGGTTTCACAGGATTATGAATCCAGATTACCCAGAATGCTTAGAGAGTCAGCGTGAGGATGAAAAGTGGTTGGACGGTGAGGATGTGAAGCAGAGGAGGAGCAGCAGAGAGGCATTTCTGAACATCACACTTAATTTCCTGAGGAGAATGAAGCAGGAGGAGCTGGCTGACTGTCTGCAGAACAGTGAGAGCACTTTATCAAACTAAACATGATAGAAGAACAAGTGGATGCAAGAATTCTGTCATAAATATAATGCACCTGATCTATCCATCCATTATTGATTACTCTTTTCTCTTTTCAGGAATTCAGCTGTGTCGACGTAAATTCAAGTCTAACCTGCAGAAGAAGTTCCAGTGTGTGTTTGAGGGGATCGCTAAAGCAGGAAACCCAACCCTTCTGAATCAGATCTACACAGAGCTCTACATCACAGAAGGAGGGACTGCAGAGGTCAATGATGAACATGAGGTCAGACAGATTGAAACAGCATCCAGGAAACCAGACAGACCAGAAACAACCATCAGACAAGAAGACATCTTTAAAGCCTCACCTGGAAGAGATGAACCAATCAGAACAGTGATGACAAAGGGAGTGGCTGGCATTGGGAAAACAGTCTTAACACAGAAGTTCACTCTGGACTGGGCTGAAGACAAAGCCAACCAGGACATACAGTTCACATTTCCATTCACTTTCAGAGAGCTGAATGTGCTGAAAGAGAAAAAGTACAGCTTGGTGGAACTTGTTCATCACTTCTTTACTGAAACCAAAGAAGCAGGAATCTGCAGGTTTGAAGAGTTCCAGGTTGTGTTCATCTTTGACGGTCTGGATGAGTGTCGACTTCCTCTGGACTTCCACAACAATGAGATCCTGACTGATGTTACAGAGTCCACCTCAGTGGATGTGCTGCTGACAAACCTCATCAGGGGGAAACTGCTTCCCTCTGCTCGCCTCTGGATAACCACACGACCTGCAGCAGCCAATCAGATCCCTCCTGACTGTGTTGACATGGTGACAGAGGTCAGAGGGTTCACTGACCCACAGAAGGAGGAGTACTTCAGGAAGAGATTCAGAGATGAGGAGCAGGCCAGCAGAATCATCTCCCACATCAAGACATCACGAAGCCTCCACATCATGTGCCACATCCCAGTCTTCTGCTGGATCACTGCTACAGTTCTGGAGGATGTGATGAAGACCAGAGAGGAAGGAGAGCTGCCCAAGACCCTGACTGAGATGTACATCCACTTCCTGGTGGTTCAGACCAAAGTGAAGAACATCAAGTATGATGGAGGAGCTGAGACAGATCATCACTGGAGTCCAGAGAGCAGGAAGATGATTGAGTCTCTGGGAAAACTGGCTTTTGATCAGCTGCAGAAAGGCAACCTGATCTTCTATGAATCAGACCTGACAGAGTGTGGCATCGATATCAGAGCAGCCTCAGTGTACTCAGGAGTGTTCACACAGATCTTTAAAGAGGAGAGAGGACTGTACCAGGACAAGGTGTTCTGCTTCGTCCATCTGAGTGTTCAGGAGTTTCTGGCTGCTCTTCATGTCCATCTGACCTTCATCAACTCTGGAGTCAATCTGATGGAAGAACAACAAACAACATCCCGGTGGTCTAAAGTCTTCAGAGACAAACAGAATCTGAAGTATCTCCACCAGAGTGCTGTGGACAAGGCCTTACAGAGTCCAAATGGACACCTGGACTTGTTCCTCCGCTTCCTCCTGGGTCTCTCACTGCAGACCAATCAGAGACACCTACGAGGTCTGCTGAGACAGACAGGAAGTAGCTCACAGACCAATCAGGAAACAGTCCAGTACATCAAGAAGAAGATCAACCAGGATCTGTCTGCAGAGAGAAGCATCAATCTGTTCCACTGTCTGAATGAACTGAATGATCGTTCTCTAGTGGAGGAGATCCAACAGTCCCTGAGTTCAGGACGTCTCTCCACAGATAAACTGTCTCCTGCTCAGTGGTCAGCTCTGGTCTTCATCTTACTGTCATCAGAAGAAGATCTGGACGTGTTTGACCTGAAGAAATACTCTGCTTCTGAGGAGGCTCTTCTGAGGCTGCTGCCAGTGGTCAAAGCCTCCAACAAAGCTCTGTGAGTGGATGAGTAGTGGTTCAGCAGGTAGACACAGTTGTCTGTTGATTGCACGGTTGGTGATTCAATTCCTCATTTTTCCAGTCCACATGTCATAGTACAGCTGAGCAAGACACTGAACCACAAATTTCCCCCGAATGTCCGGCCAGTGCTTTGCATGGTGCCATCTATGTATATCAGATACCTTTTAGAGCATCAAAACAAAAACCCAGAAACTAATAAAATTGAACTTTACTCTTGGTTACCTATTCCACAGGCTGGATGACTGTAACCTCTCAGAGAGAAGCTGTGAAGCTCTGTCCTCAGTTCTCAGCTCTCCATCCTCTCTGAGAGAGCTGGACATGAGTAACAATGACTTGCAGGATTCAGGGATGAAGCTTCTTTCCATTGGACTGCAGAGTCCACACTGTGAACTGGAAACTCTCAGGTGAGGATTCATCTGTTTGTTTGATGACCACTTGTGTACTTTTTTTAACATGTGGACAAATGTAAGCAAAGTAGAGCTGTGAAACAATTTTTAAAATTGTGATTAATTGTATTTTAATCAAATGATTAGAATTCCATTATTTTGCATTTCAAAACAGTTTTTAAGTCAATCTAAACAAGGTGAAGTACTTCTTACCAGAGTGTTTTGATTAGGCAACTTCAACTAGGCCAACTTTCACTTTTCACCTGCATTGCTCAGCGTCAGCTGCCAGCTTGACGTACTTAAGGCTCTTGGGCTTGTAGGCCACCTCCAAAGTATCCTCCCAGGGCACAGTGAGCTGATTTAGACGAGGCGCAGTGAGGAGGACGAAAGCACGAGGACTGGTCTGAGGTTAGTAGAAGGGATCTTAGATGGGAGGCATAGATGCTGATTCAGATCTGCCAGTAACCTCAAATCTCTTGCTCCTCCGGCTGGTGTTTGATTTTACTGTACAAGCCTCGGATTGCTTCACACCTTCATGGACACACCTTCTTGTAAGCACCAGATGGACTGATGGAGGATATAGGGCATTGATGGATGTCTGTCTGGTCTCCAGGGCTGCTGCTCGACACTTTAAAACCTGATTGTGCTGCCAGTTAAAACGACCCTCTGTCAGGCTTGTCTTGCAGCCAACCAAAATGTGTTTCAGGATTGCTGGAGATGGGCAGAGGGGGCAAGCAGGGTGTTCACCGCACCATTGGCTGAGGTTCCTCTGAAATGGCAGGACATCGTAGGTGGCTTGTATTATGAGGCTAGTTTGAGATGCTTCCATGTCCCACAGTTCCTTCCAAGAGAACTTTCTATTGTCAACTGCAAAATGGAGCTTTGCTGTCTTTGACGATGTGGTTGCCCTCTGACAGCAGGCAGCCTGTTTAGCTGCTCCTGTGTGCTCAGCTCATAGGTGGGAGCTAAAACTCAAACAAAAGTACGTCAGCGATATTTTAATTCCATTTGACACAAGATGCAGATTACTGTGGACTTGTCAACTGAGCCCTCAGGGAGTTTCTAATGTGAAAAGGAGCCTTCAGAGGCGCAGGACTTTACCTTTACCTTTACAATGTCTTTATACATTTTTGTCAGTTTTATTAGCTGGTGCATCATTTTATTATTATTAACATATTTATTGTTCTACTTTGTGCTCTTGTCCTTTCTTTTACTTCTTATCTTCTGTGCCCCTCCTTCATTATGGCATACCTGAGCAAGGCTCTTAACCCCAGTGGCGCGGCTCAGTGGTCAGACTGTGGTTGTACTTGGCAGCTTCCAGAATATGGGTCATATGTTAGGGTGGTCAATGTATAATTGTAAAAGACAAACTTCCTTGAATAACTAAAGGGTTGTGTGTTTGTCTTTGCAGGCTGTCAGGCTGTCTGATCTCAGAGGAAGGCTGTGTTGATCTGGCCTCAGCTCTGAGCTCCAACCCCTCCCATCTGAGAGAGCTGGACCTAAGCTACAATCATCCAGGAGACTCAGGAATGAAGCTTCTTTCTGCGGGACTAAATGGTCCAGACTGGAGACTGGACACTGTCAGGTAGGGACAGATATCAAAAGCTCAACCCTTGTTGGTCTGGTCCACAGCAGTAAAGATTCATGTTAGCTGGAAAATCAGTGTGACTGTGTTTCTGCCTCCAGGGTGGATTACTGCAGTAGGAAGAGGCTGGAACGTGGTCTGAGCAAATGTAAGTGGGGGTTCAGTTGATTCAGTGATTCATTTGATGCCCAACATGCTTAAAAATGTTTCCTCACAACAGTCTTGCAGAGTATCAGTCCCTCCAGGATGTCGTAGGCTTTTGGGGGAATTTTTGCAGCCTGAGATGTCTGATCTCACCACAGCTTTTCTAAAACATCCTCCGCCTGCTCTCTTTGCCTGGTTAGCAAAAGCTAGCACAGTAGCAGCAGCTAATAGATGATACCAAGTTGTTAAAACCGTCCCAACAATCTCCCACTGACACAGAAATGGCTCGACTCTACCGTTACACCTGTTAAAACTGTGGCAGAGCTCCGGTCCTGCAGCAGCAGTCTAATGTTGATCAGAGAGCCTGAGTGAATAAATACGCTGCATGGAGCTCAACACTAAAATGACACTTTACCCTATGAAATTTTTAAAAAAAATTTAAATTTTAAAATCTTGGGTTATTGGACAAAAAATACAAAGTCGTGCAGAATTGACAGGGATTGGCTGAAGCTGCGTAAATCATTGCAATCCATCCTCACTGTGACCTCGTCACATGTCCACGTTTGGTCATGGACTTTCCACGTCCACATATGACATCCAAGGTACCCTGGGTGTGTTGGTTGTTGACGTTCTGGGACGCCGTGTCAACTTCAGCCTGTTACTGTTCCGGCCTCGATTTGAAGCAGAAGTATAAATCCTGCTATAGAGTCCAAGTTTGTTCAACCTGCTTTCCAAAACAGACCCTTGCTGTGTCATATGATAAACTTCATCCGTGTCTTTTTGTCTCCTCAGATTTCTGTGAACTCACCCTGGACACAAACACATTAAACAGACACCTCAAACTGTCCGACAACAACAGGAGGGTGACATGGTCACTGAAGTGTCAACCATATCCTGATCACTCAGACAGGTTTGACTACTGCTGGCAGCTGCTGTGTACAGATGGTCTGACTGGTCGATGTTACTGGGAGGTGGAGTGGAGAGGAAAGATCGTTATTGCAGTGACTTACCGAGGAATCAGTAGAAGAGGACAGGATGGTGTCTGCAGGCTGGGATGGAACAATCAGTCCTGGAGTCTGTACTGCTCCAATAAACGTTACTGTGTTTGTCACGATAACAAAGTCACAGCCATCTCCCACCGCCCCTCCTCTCGCACAGTAGCAGTGTATGTGGACTGTCCTGCTGGCATCCTGTCCTTCTACAGAGTCTCCTCTGACTCACTGATCCACCTCCACACCTTCACCACCACCTTCACTGAGCCTCTGTACCCTGGCTTTGGGTTCGGGGTTAGTATTAAATCCAGCTCCTCAGTGTTTCTGTGTGAGCCATAGGATGGATTCTCCTGCAGAAAGAAAGAAACACACCAGTGACGGAGAGGACCGACTGAAATTGCTCATCTTGTATAATATCACACACGGATGTGCATTAAAAAACGTTTTAACATCAGCACAATCAAATTTTGTATATTGGAGGAAGTGAAATTATTTCCTGAGAGCTGAACTCACTGTGGTGACTCTATGTTTGTAGTAAGACACATTTTGGGGCAGCAGTAGCTCAGTCAATAGGGAGCTGGGTTTGGAACCAGAAGGTCACCAGCTCAAGTCCCCGTCCAGATAAAATCCTTATTTAACGATCATCTGCAGGGTTGCCAACTCTTCACACATCTGGCGTGACTGTCACTCTTTCACCATCAATGTCACTCTCTCACGCCCGTTTAAGAAATCTCACGTCGGATGTCCACTGGATCCGTCACATGCATGATTCGGCCACTGCACGGACTTGCTCCATCCTGTGCCAGGCGTCAATGTCCACTTAGAACTATAGCGGCGCGCACCCAAGCGACTGGAATTGGCAGATCGCGAAGATCACAATGTCACGTGATAATCTGCGGAAATCTCCTCTGAGCCCCTCTTCATGTTTGACTTCAGCTGGGGCCACCCACTTTCATGTCATGTTGATGTAGCGATGTGTTCTTCCAGGAGCTTGCTGTTCACTTCCTGTATGAATGTAGAGCAGAAACCATGATGTTTTTTTCCAAACCTTACCATGTGCTTTCATTGCAAGGTGTCATTGACATGTCGTCCCAGAACATTAACAGGCGCAGGAGGATATGAAGATGAAATGTGTAATGTGCAATTGTGAAAGTCCGCTGACAAAGCGGTGATATTTCGCCAGAATGAGAACAGGCTGTCCGTATTTGACGTTCTTGGAGGCGTCTCAGCTGACGCTTGTTATATGCGTCCTGTCTTTTCAATATAAACTTCTGTTTTCACAGGAAATGTTCAGTTTCTGCTTGGTAGATAGTCTTTTTCAAAATAAAATTACAACATGGGTAAAACACCTCACATGTACTTTTATTTCCCTGTGCAACACAACACGTGGTTAGGTTTAGAAAAAAAACCCATCATGGTTTGGCTTAAAATAACGCCACGTAGAACATCAAACTGTTACTAAAATAACTCCATTAACTTTTGGTTTCACACAGGAAGTGAACAGCAGGCTCCGGGGTGAAAGTCCGGTGTTTGTTTTACCCGTCCACCTGTCCTACATGGACCTTCTCACTACGGCCGTTACAGGCGAAGTTAGAAATTGTCACCACACACTGCGTATCATAACACCACAAAGAGTGACTAGCTGGTAGTGAGACCTTCAAATGTCGCCTAATAGATAAAATAAACAAAATAAACTCACAAAATGTGAATAAAGGAAATATTCCTACAGCTGTTGTCCTTATCAGACGGAGGAAGTACAACCGTCAACAGTCTCAGGACAAGTTTCCCTCTTTAACAAACAAAGACGAGCTGAACTACCAGACCTCATTAGAATTTTCATTCAAAATGGACAGAAACAAAATCATACTCGCCAAACCCATCTTGGTTCATCTCTCCACTGTTCCACATGGACACGTGCACAGATCGACCTCAGGTGGTGTTCAAGCACCTGCACGTTTGGCCTCTGACCATCAGTGCATTTCTGTTCAACGTTTTTCTTCCAATTCTTTTTCTACTTTTGCATTTTAGTTTTTAAGTTTGGCACATGGCATCAACTCTCAATGCATTTGAGTTTTAACCCTCCTTCTTTGACTGTGTCGTCACAGTAACAGAGCATCCTGTAGAGCAGCGTCACGTCTTCCTGACCTGCCGGACAGACAGGTAACAACAGTGTCCGCCCTGAGCCTCGGTATTGTTTGTAACTGTTATGAAATTAAACTATCTCAATACAGCCAAACTAATGTAGGCAACATCTCACCGTTCAGTTTAACAATGAGTAAACTGGTCTGATGTAAAAATCACACCATCTCCCTCCAACTCTGTCACATTTAGTTCACCAGCCAGTGTCTTTTAAAACCAAAACTTAATGTGAACTATTGTTTGTGTCCCCCACACTGCGGCCCTGATAATTCATTAATGCCTCGTCCTCACCTCTGTATGTGACCGGTGTCTGTAAATCCATAAATATACGGATGCTGCCTCTAGTGTCCAACGCAAGGACATGCATGTTGGTAACACTCTCTATGAAGATCATATCTATAATGCTTTATAAGGCCATTCATAGTGAGATATAATGTGTTTATAATACTCTATGACTACACTCAAATGTCCTTGACTAGGGTGACCATATTTTGATTTCCAAAAAAGAGGACACTCGGCCGGCCACGACATAGCCTACTTAAATGATACTCGCAGTTTACTCAAAGATGCCTTATAATTTTAATATATTTAAAATTTATATGTATGGATAGAAAATTCAGTTATATTACAAAATAATATCTCTCAAAGACAGAAATTCAGATAGGCCCCTATAGATAGGGGACACATACACACACTAGAGTGTGGCGATCCGAGCCCGACGGGTCCCGGCCGACCCGTCGGGTTTGGCCGGGTTTGGTCAAAAATGTAGCTATAAATTGTATTCGGGCTCGGGTCGGATTCGGTCAACTTTCAGTGAAAATGTAGTGTAAAAATAAATAAAATCCTATTGTCTGTCCTGTTTGTTGCTTGGGCACTGTTATTTACGTGACAACACCTGAACATAACACACACAGACACACACATTGGCTGTTTGTTTCTACCTCTCCCCTCTCTGGAAGCCTTGGACCTCCAGCCGCCCGCCTCCGCCTTGATTAAACGCTGAAAATAAAGTAAAAGAGGGAGACAGGTTTTTCCTATTTTATCTTATTTTGTTTTATTTCTCCCTCTCCTCTCGCTGGAAGCGTCGGACCTCCCGCCTCCCGCTCCCGTCTCAAACACAGAGGTCTCCCTCTCCGCTGAGCACGCCCAGCCTGTTAAAAAGCCTGTAACCGTAACAACTGTGTGACACAAAGTCAGTGCTTTGGTCATTAAATAATGTCGGGCTCGGACGGAAATATGCGGCCCGTGCCACACTCTAACACACACACACACAGAAAACCGGACATTATCATCAGTTTATAAAAACCCCCCAGACGCCCCGGACGGGACGTGAAAAGTGGACATGTCCGGGCAAAATTATCCTTGACTCGTTAAAGCAAGTACTCGCCTCAACAATCAGCTGTAGTAAAGACTCAGAGTCTGTTATAATAATCCGTTTCATAAGTTATCACTGTGTAAAGTACATATTCATGTATCAATGATACTGTTTGCTTCACCATAACATTTCATTGTTGGTGTTCAGTAAAGTGTGATTTATTTTCACGTAATTAAAATAATCTGTGCTGCATCATCAGTGATTAATGTCTATCATACACTGCAATACTTTGACAATATATTTAAAAGATTTAAGTCTGATACCGACTCACATCTGAAGTCAGCGTGTCACTAGTCAGAGTTTTTAGCCACAGAAAAATTTTACAAGAACTGTGAATCTTGTAGAGTCACTGTCCTGTCACACTGTTTGCTTCAAAAAGGACAAAAAAGTCGACAGAAATTGCTGCAGCATTTAAAATCCCCAATGAATATGCTGTATGCTAGCTAACCATTGTCCCAGTCCCAAACAAAGTTAGCCTACGTGCAAGCTAACGCTAGCTACTTGAATGTTTGCTATTAGCCTACAAGTTAACTGTACATTTCCGCAGAAGATTTTGAGCTTCATTCATATAAGTAGTTACATAATGTGATTTTTGAAGCTAGTAATCTTTAGTTGAAACATAAGGTGAGCTTACTGGCTAACACATAAGCTCACCGGCTAACATATGGTTAGCTTATTGGCTAACACATAAGCTCACTGGCTAACACATAAGCTCACTGGCTAACATGGTTATCTCATTGGCTAACATGGTTATCTCATTGGCTAACATGGTTGTCTCATTGGCTAACACATAAGCTCATTGGCTAACATGGTTATCTCATTGGCTAACACATAGCTCATTGGCTAACACATAAGCTCACTGGCTAACATGGTTAGCTCACTGGCTAACATGGTTATCTCATTGGCTAACACATAGCTCATTGGCTAACACATAAGCTCACTGGCTAACATGGTTATCTCATTGGCTAACACATATGCTCACTGGCTAACATATGGTTAGCTTACTGGTTAACACATAAACTCACTGGCTAACATATGGTTAGCTTACTGGCTAACACATAAGCTCACTGGCTAACATATGGTTAGCTTTCTTGCTAACATATGGTAGCTTACTGGCTAACACATAAGCTCACTGGCTAACACATATGCTCATTGGCTAACACATATGCTCACTGGCTAACATATGGTTAGCTTACTGGCTAACACATAAGCTCACTGGCTAACATATGGTTAGCTTACTGGCTAACACATAAGCTCACTGGCCAACATATGGTTAGCTTATTGGCTAACACATAAGCTCACTGGCTAACATGGTTATCTCACTGGCTAACATGGTTATCTCACTGGCTAACACATAAGGGGGAACTGCCCATTGGTCCGACCATATTAAACCCATTGTTCCGAAGTCCTGTTGTTCCGAAATCATCATGATGCCCTGTGGTTAAGGTCTGGTTAGGTTTAGGCACAAAAACCACTTGGTTAGGGTCAGGAAAAGAGCCTTTCCCAGCTGACCCAGAGCCAGTCGCGGCGCACCATCAAGGCAGAAATACGCCCACCGGGAGCCATTCAGCACTGCGGACCATCGGACTAATGGGATGTCGGACCAATGACATGGACCCCACATAAGGTCACCGGCTAACACATATGCTCACTGGCTAACACATATGCTCACTGGCTAACACATAAGCTCACTGGCTAACATGGTTATCTCATTGGCTAACACATATGCTCACTGGCTAACACATATGCTAACTGGCTAACACATAAGCTCACTGGCTAACATGGTTATCTCATTGGCTAACACATATGCTCACTGGCTAACACATAAGCTCACTGGCTAACATGGTTATCTCATTGGCTAACACATAAGGTCAGTGACTAACACATATGTTCACTGGCTAACATGGTTATCTCATTGGCTAACACATAAGCTCATTGGCTAACACATAAGCTCAATGGCTAACATGGTTATCTCATTGGCTAACACATAAGCTCACTGGCTAACACATATGTTCACTCACACATAAGCTCACTGGCTAACACATAAGCTCACTGGCTAACACATATGCTCACTGGCTAACACATAAGCTCACTGGCTAACATGGTTATCTAACACATAAGCTCACTGGCTAACACATAAGCTCACTGGCTAACATATGGTTAGCTTATTGGCTAACACTCCTGCAGGACATCTTTCACCTCTGTGATATATGATGTGAAACCAAGGCTGGAAGGTGCTGATGACATGTTCAGGAGATACGGTCTTCCTGTCGGATATGTTACATGCTGCATTGGTTTCGCAGAATATGAGGTGTATGAGCTCTGTGTGACAGTTAACCACCAGCTCCCCGGCGTCGTTAGCCACTCGTACGTCAGGTAGGTTTCTTTAATCATCTTGTTGACAGCTGCTCTGGAGATGATGAGGTCGTCGTCATTTCCAGAGGAAGAGGCCATCATGGTCCTGCCCATATAGTTAGCTTGTAGGCTAATAGCAAACATTCCAGTAGCTAACGTTAGCTTGCAAATAGCCTCTATGGTGGTTAGCCAGTTAGCTATAGCATACAGCATATCACAGGGATTACAAAGGCTGCAGCGAATTCTGTCTTCAGTTGCTTCTCCTTCTAAGGAGACGTTGATGTGATGATAATTAATATGAAACACGGAGCTCTGATCAGCTCTGTATGTTTCACAGTCCAACAGAAACACATGTAACTCACACATTAACACAATAATCCATGTACACATGTTAGTGTGGAGCAACTTACAGCTGGGAGATGATCTTCAGTTCACTGTGAGCTGCAGAGTCCTGACGTTCATCACTGATCATCGACAGCAGCTGATGAAGCTGAGCTCGTCTTCATCTCCTCACATGGTTGGTTGGTGCCATCTGGTGATCAGAGGCTGAACTCACGATCATCCTGAGAACACTGAGAACTAGGGATGGGCAGCACAAGCAAAAACTCCTCGTGGAGTAGTAGTCTCTGAATGTTTCTCCTGGTTGTAGAGGAGCATCAAACTAGCTGGTAGCCCATCTCACACCACTGTCGCAATCCTAGACTGCCCTCGTGCGGTTAGGAGCTGAATTGCATGTCAAATAAAGGGGGGAATAAGACAGCGAATAGTAATAGTCGCATTAAAAAATCGATTTTTCAAAAATAAAACGACTATTCGAAATTCGAAAATCATGACCCATCCCTACTGAGAACACAGAGCTCCTGATTCAGACTGAAGCTTTTCATCAGGACTCTGAGCTCAGGAGAGCTTTAGGAAAGTTCTCAGTGAGGAGGTGTGGTCGACCCTGATGTCAGGTGTGATGTGATTGGTTGTCAGAGACACGCCCCTCTGTGAGCCTGTAAGGTGTGAGGACACCCAGTGGACATGAGATGAACTGCAGACTGTGACAATAGGTTCGTTGGAGATTAGCCAGGCCTGCGCAGATTCGATCATCAGCGATCGGCGCACAATGCATGCTGGTTAGTTTTGTGTCCAACTTCATCCCGACTTGCTCTGATGTATTACAAAAGTGGACGGCAATAAAACCGCGAGAGCGAGGCGGCTGCAGTTTATAGAGCCAGGCGCTGCAGCTGCTCTCCACCGACTGCACCGCCTGGCTCTCACCTGATCTAACAGCTGATTGGTTCAGATGTCGACTCAACAAGATGACGTTTCAGATAAACTACTCATATGTGTTGAATTTTAGAGATTAAGATTGTATTTGTCTGATTTGAAGGTTTATTCTGTGTAACAGAAACATGTTGTGTGACTGATGGTGAAGTTTAGTCGTCACAGACTGAACACATTCATCATAAACCACACAGAGTCTACTGTGTGTTAACACTGGACTGTTACTGAAGTGTTTACCATCACACAGACTGGTGCTCATTCTTAAACTAACATGTGTACAGATGTGAAGCCCTGACTGTGTCTGACTGAAACACAACTTGAGTATTTCACTCTTTATTTGTTCATCATCATCATCATCATCATCATCTTTAACCCTGCCCCGCCCACAGGAAAACGCTAAAGAAACCAAAACGTGTCTCAAACACAGTTTTTATCATAAAATACTTTAAAATCAATCATCAGTGACGATGACGTCATGATGACGTCACACAGAGGGTCAAACAAGAGACGTCAGCTGTTGGTCGACACACTGAGGAGAGTTTCTATTGGCTCAAACTCAGACTGACTGTCTTTAAATATGATGAAGATGGTGGTGATGAAGATGAAGTCTTCCTGTCTCCTCTCTGCTCAGAGGTTTCCAGGTTTAATCACGTCGTCTCTGTGGGAACTGATGTTCTCAAACAGGAAGTGATTAACTCTGTAAATCCAGCAGAACAAACTAAACAAACACAAACTGAAGCTTTATTTTATCTTCAAACACACACACACACACACACACACACACACTTCCTGTTTGTACAATGTCCTCATTTTCAATGTTCAACCAGAGACGAACAGACAACGAATCAACATCCAGAACAACCAGGACAAAAAGGTTTAACAAAATAAAGCAGGCCACTCTTATTTTGAAAAGATGACTCAGAACACAGAGGAACATGAAGTCACTGGGTTTATTAATATTAATGATGAAATGTGAAACATTGATCTGATACGTTTATTGATTATAGTTTATAACGCGTTGATGGGTGAAGCTGTCAGTGGTGACAATGATGATGATGAGGAGGATGAAGGTCAGTGTCTGGGCGTCTGGTGGGACCTCTGGCGGTACTCAGGCAGGTGATGAAGGATCCAGGCGGCCGGAGTCAACATGGCCACCGCAAACACCGATATGACGAAGAAACTTTGCTGCCCGAGACAAAAACAACCAATCAGAGAAGAGATCTGACACATCACATGACATCATCAGGAAATAATCGATCATCTATAAACTGTTTAAGTTTTCTGATTTCATTGATCGATGACTGAAAGGAAAATAACTGATCAGTGTCGTATTGATTAGAACCACATGTGGAAGTTAAACAGCTTCAATCAACCTTTATTGATAAATCAACTTCCTGTTCAGGTCAAACTGATTATTGATTATTGATTCTGACAAACACGAGTGATATGAGATCAATAAAGATTCTTCAGTCTGACGAAAGGCAGACAGACAGGCAAACAGACAGACAGACAGAAAGACACAGACAGACAGACACACAGACAGACACACAGACACACAGACAGACACACAGACACACAGACAGAGAGACACACAGACAGACAGACACACAGACAGACAGACACACAGACAGACACACAGACAGACAGACACACAGACACACAGACAGACACACACACAGACACACAGACAGACACACAGTCAGACACACAGACAGACAGACACACAGACAGACACACAGACAGTCAGACAGACAGATAGACAGACAGACAGACAGACAGACAGACAGACAGACAGACAGACAGACAGACAGACAGACAGACAGACAGACAGACAGACAGACAGACAGACAGACAGACAGACAGACAGACAGACAGACAGACAGACAGACAGACAGACAGACAGACAGACAGACAGACAGACAGACAGACAGACAGACAGACAGACAGACAGACAGACAGACAGACAGACAGACAGACAGACAGACAGACAGACAGACAGACAGACAGACAGACAGACAGACAGACAGACAGACAGACAGACAGACAGACAGACAGACAGACAGACAGACAGACAGACAGACAGACAGACAGACAGACAGACAGACAGACAGACAGACAGACAGACAGACAGACAGACAGACAGACAGACAGACAGACAGACAGACAGACAGACAGATAGACAGACAGACAGACAGACAGACAGACAGACAGACAGACAGACAGACAGACAGACAGACAGACAGACAGACAGACAGACAGACAGACAGACAGACAGACAGACAGACAGACAGACAGACAGACAGACAGACAGACAGACAGACAGACAGACAGACAGACAGACAGACAGACAGACAGACAGACAGACAGACAGACAGACAGACAGACAGACAGACAGACAGACAGACAGACAGACAGACAGACAGACAGACAGACAGACAGACAGACAGACAGACAGACAGACAGACAGACAGACAGACAGACAGACAGACAGACAGACAGACAGACAGACAGACAGACAGACAGACAGACAGACAGACAGACAGACAGACAGACAGACAGACAGACAGACAGACAGACAGACAGACAGACAGACAGACAGACAGACAGACAGACAGACAGACAGACAGACAGACAGACACACACACAGACAGACACACAGACAGACACACAGACAGACAGACACACAGACAGACACACAGACACACAGACAGAGAGACACACAGACAGACAGACACACAGACAGACAGACACACAGACAGACACACAGACAGAGAGACAGACACAGACACACAGACACACAGACAGACACACAGACACACAGACACACAGACAGACACACAGACAGAGAGACACACAGACACACAGACACACAGACAGACACACAGACACACAGACAGACACACAGACACACAGACAGACACACAGACAGACAGACCGACAGACAGACAGACAGACAGACAGACAGACAGACAGACAGGCACACAGACAGACAGACAGACAGACAGGCAGACAGACAGACAGGCAGACAGACAGAGACTCACCGTGGCTCCGATCTTGTTCCTGGGAGGTTTGCTGTAGATCGTCTTCTTCGTCTCCCTCAGGATGTCTTTGGGACGAGTCAGAGTGGACACAGAAACATTTCCCATCATCCTCAGGAGGCCGCTCGCCATCGTCACGGCAACAAATGCTGGACTCTGATTGGCTGCTTCTGAGTTCAGGTTTGTCTGTCTGACTGTCGCTGATGATGATGATGATGATGATGATGATGATGTGTCCACTGAGAGCTGCTGAGGCTGAATGTGAAGGAGCAGACGGGGGAGGAGAAGAGGAGGGGGAGGGGGAGGAGGAGGAGGAGGAGGAGGAGGAGGTGGTGCAGTGGTCCCAGCAGCAGGCTGATGATTGGACGGTCAGACTTCAGAGTTTAGAGAACGCAGTTTGTTGATCTTTGTTAAATGAGGTGAGGAGCAAACAGCAGCTGGTCTGCAGCTCAACAATCAGCTGATTAGATGTCCTGTGCAGAACAAACAGGACTGATGCAGGACAGACGAGTGATGTGACGGAGGACGAGGGGTTAATGTGACGAGTGTTTGATGTGCAGAAACAGAGCTGCAGCTTCACGAAGAGACGACCTGTGAACACGACACATGACATTAAACATAAAGACACGCAGCACAAAGTGACGCCATATTGTTACTACATCACCTTTTAAGTTCATGTGCTGCCCAGCTGGAGTAAAGATCTGACATGAATACAACATAATCTTATTAATAAAGCACATTGTTAAACATCTTGTGAGCTCATGTGTAACCTGATGGCCCGTCTTCACGTCCTTGTTAGGTTGATTTGATGATAACATGAAATCAGTTGCAGTTGTTTTCTCAGACAACTCATCATTACAAAGCTGAGCTCCTCACGGTGCTGTTAATTCTGACAATGCCAACAAATGACCGCCACAGCAGGTTCAGTAAACACTTCTGTCACACACACAAACAGTTATAACTCTATGAAACTTTAATCCACAGATCAACATCATCCCGACAGAATCGTTCCTCACACACTCCCAAAGGTCCAGATGATCGAAACCCAGATAAACATTTAGTCCCAACACATTATTACATCCACAGATACCCACACACTGCTGCTGTGTCCTTAAACGTACAAATTTCTCCACAAATGATCCTTCCTTTCTTCAGTTCACATGTAAATATCGCTGATAACTTGCTGTCAAAATGGAGGCGAACTCCTGACCTTCTGATTGACACCTTACTTTAGCGAATAGGAACTTCCATGTTCTCACTAAACCATCTCCTCCAAACCCTTTCAGTCCAGTCCCTTTGGAACCAGCAGTAAGCCTTCAGACATGGTACCTAGACCCTCGGTGTGTTCAGACAGTCCTCTTAAATGTGGGCGGGGTTGTTGTCACTCACTGCTCCGTCCAGCACTCGCTGTATTTCCTCATCAGCGGTGACACAGATGGAAGTCTGCACCTGGTTTATCGTCCACAGAACGAGGCTGCACGCCCACATTTTCACAACAAAATAGAACAGGCTGCAGTGAGAGTCTCTCTCCATGGGATATTTAAAAATAGCAGCTTTGTGCATTTAGTCCTTCTCAGGCAAGCTCAGGGGTTTAGTGATGCTGTAGCCCACAGGAAGTGAGGATTAGAATATATGACCTTCACATAATCCGCTCCAAATTCATCTATATTTTTAAAGTCATTACTAAAAGTGTGTGTCATATAAAAACTAAAGTGATGGTCAAAGTTGTCACAGTGAAATTTAAGGTGTGCTGATGGATTCACGTCATCAACTCATGCATTGAGTAACATTACAAGTTAACGTTCCACCTTAAAAGTTGACGGCAGTCGGCCCAGTGAATGAAGTTATTTTTTTCTCTTTCATTTTATAGTTGTAGTTTACTGATGTATGAACAGAGGTTACATAAAACCAGACTCAACAGCACGGACCAAATGTACAGAGCTGTAAAGTTGTCCACCATGGTAGCAGTTAGCTGCTAGCTAACCGTAGCTAACTTGTTTGTCCATTGTTTGGTCTGTGACGTAATAGGTCAACAGGAAAAAGGTCCAATACTAACAAGCTGAAAGGGGGCATATCTCCACCTATCGTAGAGGAGTCGCACATACTTGGCTCAATAAATGGATTCCCCTACCGTGCTTGTATACTGGGACAAGGACAGTAGGCCAGTTAGATGTCCACGTCCAGCTGGGACTGTAGCTCCACTTCACTGTGCATGTTACTGACACTGCGGAGCTCCAGAGTTTTTAACTCCTTCCTGTCCCCACAGACTGATACATGTTCAGAGATGATTAACAAACGGCTCCTCTGTTGTCTTAAAGGGAAAAAATGTAGGTTTTCCAGTGTGTTTTTAATACTCAGTGAGCTCCTAAACACATTTCTATCTTTGATTTTTTTTTTAACTCGTAATAAGTTCAGTTCATGTTTTATCCTTTTTATGAAAAGCGTCTCAAAAAAAAAGTGTAAAATCTCTGTGATGTTGTTTTCTACTGTGACTTTTGACTCCCAGTTCTCCCAGTTCTCCCAGTTCCAGTCATCTGCTTTTTTCAAGAAATTTTTCAGGCCAAGATAAAAAAAATTATTTCAGTGTGTTGAAAGTTGTAAACATCAGTGACACAGCTCTGACAGTGACTGACTGTGGGAGGAAAAACTTCAGGGAGTCACCTGTCAGATGAGACCACACATGTATGTGTACTAAAGACGGACCAACAATAGCTTCCAGTTTACTCTGGGTCTGTCTTACACCCATTTCCCACAGTCATGGGCTGGTGAGGTTTGGTTTGGTTTGGCTGCAGTCCCTACCCGCATGAGGGTGGGCGGCCTGGCTTTTGGACGGTCCGTCTCCAACGCATCTAAACTGAAAATGGAAACACAGATGGATGTGACATGGCTCTACTGGATGTGGCCAAGACTGACAATGGAAAACATTATTGGAGAGGAGTTTTAGGTGAGTTTTACACTTCATTATAAACTTTAACTATAGTTCATAAACTTTATGTTAAAGACATCTTTTTTTTCCACAGTGACGCACTTCAGGTCAGACTCTGATATCTAACTGCAGACAGGATGTTTTATATTAGAAGGGAAACACTGCAGAAAGTTTTTAAGCTGTTGATTTGAAACATGAGCGACTCCATGTTGTTGTTCAGCCGATTGAGTTTTATTAGTTTTCATTAAAAAGGAAACACAAAGACGACACAGACGGACACTGATGTCAGTGACCTCTGACCTCTGAAACAGACGACATTAAAACAGGAAGTCCAAAAGCTTCAAAATAAACTGCAGATAAAAACTTAAATCCCGAAGAGGAGAAAGATAAAAGATGGAGGACAATCGCAGTCAGGAGGTCAAGAAAGGTCAAAGGTCATTTCAGGATTGTTGAAGGTCAAAGGTCATCAGGTGCAGTAGAAGCGCCCGGCATCGTCTCGCCGTCTCTTACGACTCTGCTGCTGCTCGAAGAACTGCCGGATGTCGTCAGGAGTCACCACCTGTCAGAAGACCAGTCACATGACATCAGCAGAGGACAGTCATATGACATCAGCAGAGGACAGACGGGGTGGTTTGAAAATAAAAATGTGTGATCAGTTTGTCACCACAGAGAAATGTGTCATTAACCACACAGACTCATTTAAATCATTAAAAACATCTCCAAATACATATAAAAAAAAAAATATTTAAAATTCAAAATTATGACAAAGTATTCTCGGATCTGATACGCTGGGGGCGTGTCCTCTGGAAGAGCTGAGACTAAGGCCCAATCCCAATATCCCCCCTTGTCCACTACCCCTTAGCCCTTGTCCACTACCCCTTGGCCCTTGTCCACTACCCCTTGGCCCTTGTCTACTACCCCTTGGCCCTTGTCCACTACCCCTTGGCCCTTGTCTACTACCCCTTAGCCCTTGTCCACTACCCCTTAGCCCTTGTCTACTACCCCTTAGCCCTTGTCCACTACCCCTTGGCCCTTGTCTACTACCCCTTGGCCCTTGGCCCTACCCCTTAGCCCTTGGCCACTACCCCTTGGCCCTTGTCCCTACCCCTTAGCCCTTGTCTACTACCCCTTGGCCCTTGTCTACTACCCCTTGGCCCTTGTCCCTACCCCTTAGCCCTTGGCCACTACCCCTTGGCCCTTGTCCACTACCTCTTGGCCCTTGTCCACTATCCCTTGGCCCTTGTCCACTATCCCTTGGCCCTTGGCCCTTGTCCACTACCCCTTGGCCCTACCCCTTAGCCCTTGTCCACTACCCCTTGGCCCTTGTCCACTACCCCTTAGCCCTTGTCCACTACCCCTTGGCCCTTGTCCACTATCCCTTGGCCCTTGGCCCTTGTCCACTACCCCTTAGCCCTTGGCCCTTGTCCACTACCCCTTGGCCCTTGTCCACTACCCCATAGCCCTTGTCCATTACCCCTTGGCCCTTGTCCACTAGCCCTTGGCCCTTAGCCCTTGTCCACTACCCCTTGGCCCCTGTCCACTACCCCTTGGCCCTTAGCCCTTGTCCACTCCCCCTTAGCCCTTGTCCACTACCCCTTGGCCCCTGTCCACTACCCCTTGGCCCTTAGCCCTTGTCCACTACCCCTTGGCCCTTGTCCACTACCCCTTGGCCCTCAAAATGACACCACTCACTACGTCACCGCATAGGTTCGGTTCACGCATACATAACTATTTTAAACAGGAAGCTGCGAGCCATCTACATTTCCAACAGACATCTGCAATGAAGTCTCATTCATCCTACCGATCGCGTTTGCCGTATTCATCATGCTTCGTTTGATGAACAACAGATGTATGTACTTTTTTTCCCGTCTCTTGCTCGGTGGTAGCCATGGTGTTGTCTACCCCTCGCTGGCAAGTCAGTATCTGAAATCCCTCGCTCCGAAGGGCTAGTTTCATACCCACTACCCCTCGTTATGCCTATGCCCTACCCCTACAAGCAAAAAGGAATTGGGACACCACTACCCCTCGCGGGAACGCGCAAATGTAGGGGTAGGGCCAAGGGGGGGTATTGGGACGGGCCCTAAGAACAAGCTGCTGCAAAGTGAGACTCTAGTTAGCAGCTAACACCGTAGCACAGTCGCCCGAGCTAAAGAACAAGTCCCCACGCAGCTATGGACTCTGGTTAGCAGCTAACTGGGTAACACACAGTCTACAGCAGCACATCACACACACCCTCTAAACCGAAGAACTAGAGCACCACTGCAGACTGACTTTAAGCTTCAGCAGG